TTACAGAAACGGTATTGTCAGTGGTCCTTTTGTCTGGAGCCAAATTGACAGGAGCCACATGAATGTGATCTTTGTCACAAAAGGTTTTCAAGGAATTCTGATTTAACAAAACACAAAACAGCAGTTCATTCAGGAGTTAAACCATTTGAATGTGATGTTTGTCAAAAAAAGTTTTCTCTGAGTTCTAATTTATATGCACACAAACAAGTTCATTCAGAAGATAAACCATTTGAATGTGATGTTTGTCATAAAAAGTTTTCATATAGTTCTAGTTTAAGGAAACATAAAAAAGTTCATTCTGGAGATAAGCCACATGAATGTGATGATTGCCATAAATATTTTTCTAAAATTTTTGCTCTAAGCAGCCACTAGTAACACATGAATGTGATCTTTGTCACAAAATGTTTTCTGGCAATTCTGATTTAAGGAAACACAAAAGAGTTTATTCAGGATAAACAATTTAAATGTGATGCTTTACAGTTCTACTGTAAGCAAACATAAAATTGTTCATTCATGTGATAAACCATTTGAATGTGATGTTTGTCATTAAAAGTTTTCTCAGAGTTCTAATTTAAATAGAAACAGATGATTTCATTCAGGAGAAAATCCATACTAATGTGATGTTTGTCATAAAAAGTTTACAGACAGTTCTATTCTAAGCAAACACAAAAATAATCATTTAGTAGTTAAGCCTTATGCATGTGATGTTTGTTTTAAAAAGATTTCTCAGAGTTTTAGTTTTAATAGACACAAAAGATTTCATTCAGGAGATAAACAATTTGAATGTGATGTTTGTCATAAAAGGTTTTCAGACAGTTTTAGTTTTAATAGACACAAAAGATGTGTATCATAAAAAGTTTTTAGACAGTTCTACTCTAAGGAAACACAAAAAAATGCATTAAGTAATTAATCCTTATAAATGTGAAGTTTGTCATAAAAGGTTTTCAGACAGTTCTAAGTTTAATAGACTCAAAAGAGTTCATTCAGGAAATATGTCAAATGAATGTGATGTTTGTCATAAAAGGGTTTCTAAGAGTTCTTACTTAAATAAACACAAAAGAGTTCATTCAGGAGATAATCCAAATGAATGTGATGTTTGACACAAAAAGTTTTCAGACAGTTCTTCTCTAAAGAAAACCAAAAAATATTCTTTTAGTTTTAGTAGTTAAGCGTTATGGATGCGATGTTTGTCATAAAAGGTTTTTAAACAGTGCTAATTTAAATAAACATAGAAAAGCTCATTCAGGTGTTAAGCCATGTGAAAGTGATGTTATAGTAGCACAAAGAAATTCATATATGAGATTTTATAAATATGATATTTGTCATGAAAACTTTAACCAGAATGGTGGTTAATAATATGTTACATTACTTAAATTGTTCAAGCATCAATAGAATAGAATTTCTTATCTTTAACTCATTCACAATCTGTATATGTTAATAATAGGATAATGTTTAAGTTCTACTTCTAGGTCACTTATATATATTTATGTATATTTGTAAAAATTGCAAAAGGTTCATTGCATAAATTTTAATGTAATTTACAGGTAATAGAAGACTGTTCTTAATAAATTATAATAGCAAATTACCCATTTTTCACCATCTTTGCTGCTAAACATTTATAGTTGATCTTTTTCTTTGGTCTCATCGAGGTTAAGTGGGGTCATTTACTAACACAACTATCAGTTTCTAATGCTTGAAACAATAACACCACATACAAGTTAAGCATTAAAAAGCAAGAACAATAAACCTGCAAAGGTTATGTTTTGACATTTTGGTATCATATTTTTAGCAAAATTGTTGTTTTGATGTGTTTAATTTTGTATTCTTTATTTTTAAAAACACTTTAATGAAAATGTTACTGTAGTAAACTGGTATAAGATTGTAACATGAAATTAAAACTGCTAACTAAATCTATCAAATTCTTTTTATTGTTTTACTACCAATGTCTGTATTCTAACATTATTAATTCCAATAAGACCACTGTGTGTTGAATGCTGCGGTTAATTTGAGCCTCTTCTGATTATTTAATGCCTTAACATGCCAGGTAGTTGAGGTCAGTGTCAGACAACAAAGGCTTGATTGGCATGTCATGTAAAGTTAACATTTGACTTTTATGACAGTATAAAAATTCTTCTGCAAATTATTAGTACATTTTTTTAAAAATATGTTCATTGTTATACTTATTCAACTTCATTTAAAAGCAAAAAGAAATGTAGTGTCTTTCTAATTCTCATTATGGGTACTGTAAACCATTTGAAAAAATTTATATTAATATATTCAATAGCACATTTTACACCACCTTGTCGCACCCTACATACACATGTTAATATGACTTCCAACACAATTAAATTTTGATTTAATACAATTGTTGAAAATATGCAGATGTATTAACAGAGAAATTAGATATTTTTACTTTTCCTCAGCCTATAGGCTATTATATTTTCCAAGACCACTACCACACATTATAACAATAATGTTATTTGTTTTGCTAGGCCTTTAACATAGGATCCATTATTGTAAAAAACATTTGGGCCTCGTATAGACTTATATATATATATATATATATATATATATATATATATATATATATATATATATAAAATATATAGCAAGTATTAGGCCTCTATATAAATATATACTAGCCGGCTCAGCCAGGCACTGCACTGGCCTCTTTGAAAAACCTATCTGTAAAGAACCATGACTTGTGTGTTTAGTAATCAGCATATAGGGTACCCGGCTTTGCCCGGGTTTAGGAAATATATTACTTTTCTAATTAACCCGAACCGACCACAAACGAAATTGCAAACATAACACAAATAAAAACACAAACGAAAACAAAAAAGTAAACGAAAACTAATCCAAATGCAAACAAAAACGCAAACCCAAACACAAAGAAAACACAATCGCAAACAAAAAAGCAAATAGAAATACTAAAGCAAACCATAACTCAAATAATTCAAATAAACGTCAACATAAATACAATCTTAAATCCAAACATAAACGCAAAGTGCTTACAGTCTAGCTTGGGGCAACGCTGGAACCGCTTGATTAAACTTAGTAAATGACTATAGTACCCTAACTTATTCATAGTCTTTTAGCACCCACTTAAACGAACGTAGGGGACATAGCGAACACGGTAAGGCCTGGGGCGCCAAATAGCACCCTGTCGGGGCACTAGATGGCGCCCTTATTCGATTCAGTTAAACTAGTTAAAGACTTAAGTAACCTTTCTTATCCATTGTCAATTGCACTGTTTAAAACGAAATTATGCACCATAGCTCTCACATGGGAGCCCAGAGCGCTAAACCGAACCCTGTCGGGGCGCTTGCGGACGTGCCTTATTCAAATTAGAGAACGACTATGATACCTCAAGCTTATCCGCAAACAGAAAGATAGAAGTAAACATAGAGTACATTTAGGAGCGGCTTCTAAACTGTTATTGATTACAAATAGTATTTAGTAAACAGTACGTTCAGTGTATACAATAAATTGAAGGCAGTATTTAAAATGTGTTTTACTTATCATATTGCACTTTATCAATCTCCGCTAATTATGTAATTATTTTTTTTCCCAACACCAAAACACGGTAATAAAAAGTTTTGTTTTTCCCGCGATGTAAGGTTTTTTTTTTAAAGGGAAGTAATTGTGTTTTCCTGATTTATCATGAGGCGTTATTAGTGCTAGATAACTAAGTTTGGAAATTGAAATTTTTTTAGAACACCTTCAATATTAATTTTGTAACCAAATAAGTTTAGATTATAAGCACTTTAGATATATTACATTAGGGCGATCAAGTCTATATTCTTTTACTAAATTGAATCAGGCGCGTCCGCCGGCAAACAGCAGGGTGCGATTTGGCGACCTACGCTATCCCGTGAGCACTATGGCGCCTAAGTTAGTTTTAAGAAGAACCCTACATTATTGACAAGGCGGCACACGACATTTGATAATTAAACCAAGCCCGGTTCCGTACGCGGCGCCCCTATAGAAGTGTAATCGGGGGCTCACGAGAACGCCACTCCACGTCTCCGATGCTTAGGCGGTGAGTGATTAACTGTGATACTACGGTGAGTGATTAGCATACACGCAATGCTTTTATATGCTGGGCAGTAGTGTAGACAAAGCCGTGCCCCGATAAATATGATCCTAGCGCAGGGGTTGTTTACAATTAAATAACAGTTTTAGAAAACGAGGCCATTCGTCTAAGAATATATGACTGGTAAACCAATGATTAAGACTTTAATTGCCTTTTATGCATTACTACACCTTTCATCCGATTGCCATGAAACTTTGGAATGTTGCTGAGAATACTTCAAGGAAAACAAAATTTTGCACGGGTGACGCCCCGGCAGGGTGCAATTTGGCGACCCGTGGTATCCCGTGAGCACTATGTGCGATAGAGAATGGATAAGATGGGGCATTATAGTATATATATATATATATATATATATATATATATATATATATATATATATATATATATATATATATATATATATATATATATATATAGGGCCTACAAGAGTTACAATGCGAATTAATAAAAGGTGAATACTTATTTTTTTATTCTTAATTGGCTGAAGAGTATATTTAAAAACTTTATTTAGATCTAGATCTATTTAATACTAGATCTATTTATCTTTATCATCTAGATTCTAGTCTTGTAACAAGAAAGATTGAATACTGAATAAGTAGGTCTAGGTCTAGAGATCTACGGGTTTGTTTGATTATTAAAATTATATTTTTATTTTTTTTTATCTCACGGCCCAGCGCCTCGAAGCAATTTACAAAGATGGCGGCTCGGTTTCGTTTTCATTAGGACTTACACTTAGAATTAGATCTTACATCTTAGATAAGAATCTTAGTATAAGTCAGTATAAGACAAAATAGTAAAGTAAGTTAGCAGAGAGGGATAAACAATAAACAGTGATTTTGAACCCATCTTCAATTTTAGTAATAGAAAATAGTAAATACCCATTTCTTATTATGGGCCTATACTTATAGGCTAGTAAATAGAAATACGGTAATCTATCGTTTTGGGTACGTAAAATCGCCCGCGGCTATTAATGTACGAAAATGTTACCTCATTGTCAATGCTTAAATAGTAGTATTTCTCGCTAACTTGGAGGCGTGGTCGGTTGCTAACAACAATATGGCGCCCGGACCGGACGTTTGATTTCCGGCGATTTTTCGGCCAAATTCCAGAGACCTTCAACTAATTACATTTAAAAATGTTTACCACGCGCAAAATGGCGGGATTTCCGTGTCATAACAACAAACCATAGGTGGCAGGGTTAGATATGCCAGAAAAGCATTTTAAAATTTGGTTTGGAGAACGGAGGCTAAATTCAAAAGTTGGTTTCATTAAAATTAATAGAATTTTTAAAATATCAACAGTATAGGTACAGAAATGAGCGAGAACGTAAAGCACTATTAGTTTTATCAGTCTATGAAAAAAGAAATCAAATATTGTGAGCTGTTTTTTTATAAGACCGGCGTCCGTATCACAACCAATTTATTTTTATTTTTTAAAAACCACGTGACTGCTATTTGATGATTACTAGTGAGGAACTCTGGGTGCATGGCCACTTAAAAAGTCTAACCTGATGTGTGGTTTTCTTTACCTTCAAGGGTTAGAAGAGTTGTCATGGAGAGATGTGTTGGACATGGCAGTGATTGACAATAAATATTAAATTAAGTAATTTAGTTTAAAACGAACTAAAAACTCCAAAGTTAGTGCCTAATGGATTAAATATGGATGTCTATTATTCAGTGGTCATGTTTAAATTGATAATTGCGTAAACTCTAGATTTAGTGAGAAAAACTATTAAATAGAGGTATATTGTGATATGTTTGTGTCAAATATTATAGATAAATGGATAATAAACCTAAATCAATGGCTAAATATATCAAATAGGCCAGAAATTAACTTTAAACAGCAGTGTCTGCGAACAAGATTTACTATATAAACAGCAGACGTGTAAAATAGAGTGACTTCCCCCTGAATCTTATAAAAATAAAACTTAAACAAGATGGCTGCTATAGTAGTGCTATAGTAAATGAGCATGGTTGCATCTGTTGGAAACATCGCTAGTCTTCATTTATTAATGAAAAGTTTTAATTCAATTGTTTAAAAACAGATACATAAATGAAACAAGGAAACATTTTTGTATTTTAAAAAACATAAATCCTCCTCAAAATGTGAAATAATTATTAAAATTTAAGGAGTCACCTGTTTTTCACATTACAAGTCGCTGGGCGATTTTACGTACCTAAAACGATAGATTACCAGAAATTATAATTAAGCCTGGCTAATCTATCGTTTTAGTTTTAGGTAGATCTATTTAAAATCAGTAGAGGCTAACACGGAGGCTAATTGAAAGGATGCTCGTAATTTGGTTATGTCATGTAACATATTTACTATTTTTTTAATATAGGCTAATGAATGATCCAAAAATAATCACGTTTTAAATGTTTAAGAATATATAATATAGATCTAGATCTAAATTTTTAAAAGTTATTCATATGCATGTTTATTTCAGTTTTGATTAGGCTTAATTAGTGTGTTTTAGCAATGTTTAATTAGGGTAATTTATAAATGATAGCCATGTCATTGTAAAATGAATCTAACCCTCCTCCCTTACTGGACTTGAAACCTGTGTGTTATTCACAAAGCTTTGGATAATACATTTTGTCTCTCTGTATATATAAATGATGACAAACATTTATTGTTGTCAAAATTATGGTTAGAGATCTTAGATAAGGCAGAGTGAAGCATAATTTTTTACATTATGACTTGTGACATTGACAACAAAAATATGATGGAGGTTGGGGTTTGATTAAGGTAAAGAGAAGTAAAAAAAAATGTCATAAGTTACGATAGAATCACTAATTGATGAAAAGAAAAACCTGAAATAAAAATAGTGAACATTCAAACAATAAGAAAACATTCAAACTATATAGTAATAGTAAGATCAAATAAACATTAGTACAAAAAAAACGTGATTTTGTACATGGATACAAGTTGCATCTCACAATACTTCTAGAAGTGATGAGTTGTTTGTTAGGAAATTCAGTTTTAAAGGGCAGAATTAAAAAAAAAAGAATGCTTTGTAGGACCGACTATACAACAAGACAATCATATTTAAATACATTTTCATACGAATAGAAATGAAAGGGAAACTACTCTAAATGACATTTTCTTAAGATGGCTGCTGTTTTTAATAGCAAATGTACTATCTCGAACAGGGTTGATACAAATTAATTTCAGGTTATTTAAATTGACTTAACCATCAATGGTGATCAATTATTCAATTATCTATAATATTTTATTAAAATATACGAAAATAAAGACATATACATTAATTCACTCTCTCCCACATTACTAGTTTTGGCCGAATTTACGACGTTAAACTAAGATTTTACCGAAATACTAACCCTCCTCCCTTTCTGGACTTGAAACCTATGTGTTATTCACAAAGCTTTGTCCATGCTGAGTTTAAAATATTGTTAAGATTTGTATCTATTTTTTTTTTAAACAGTAATCACATTAAAATTGATAAAGTTAATGAGAAATGCATTCTAAACAGCATCACTGGCAGTGCGCATGACAGGCATCTGTCTTGCGTAGTGACAGACAGATGCTCACTCAAGTAGTTTTGTCAACCAGAAAAGTGAACCTATCAAATACAATTCATCAGGCCTATAAAATTAAGAGGCCTATCACATTAAAATGATCGCCTGTGACCGAAAGATATAGGCAAATTACAAACATTGCAGCCCACCTGCGTTCTTTTGTCAACCAGTGAGAGAAAACTCACAGCACAGTAAGAGCTTGTTCTAAATCTAGTCCAAGTACTTTGTTAGCCCAAGTCCTAATTAGTAAATCTAATTACTAGGTACTAATTAGTAATGTAAGCCTAGACCCAACACTAAAATCATTTAATTTTTCAGACCTCTTAAATCTTAATAATATAAACATTATTTAGCCTTATAAAAGTATATCAACAAAGAACAGTGAGAATATTAGACTAATTAGACTAATTAAAATCTATGAAATCAATAAGAATTAACAAAAATTATTTAAGCTATAACACATTTGAAAACAACAAATAATTAGGCATAAATATTTGTAAATAAGCACACAAAGGCTAATGCGCAATAATTTCAGGGATCAAAACAGATTAAAAAACAAAATAATAGATTGTTGTGGCTTTGGGGCTTTTAGAGTCATAGTATAATCCAAAAGCCAGGTGAAAGATCCATAATGAGACTTAATTAGCCTAATTACGCTAGCAAAATAGGTAAAAAAAAAGTGTCAAGTAAAATGAAAACTTATGTAAGCAGTGACAGAGGATACTGCTATACAGCTTCCGTATCAATAGCAATGACGTTACAAAAAAAAATATTGTTTTCATGACGTATCAATAGCAATGACATCACTCACAAAAAAAATATTGTTTACGTGACATGTGGGTGATTTTTTTTTCTCAAAATGAGTACAGAATATTTACAATTTTAACTCAGAAACAGATCAATCTAATAATACCCTACCTAACAGTGCAAGTTTGGAATCTTACAGATTGATATTTTAAGTTTTTAAGCAACTTAAAACTTTACCCATGTTTATGTTTGACCTTCATTGTCGGAAGCTAATTAAATTTTTTTTCTGGCAAAAATAGCTCTTTCATCTTCAGGTAGAATAAAATACGCTTAAAATCTGCCATTTTTCACGTGATAATCATTTTTTAAAAACCAAATTTCAAGAAAGTCACAAAACTGTTAAAGCAAAATTTTCAAAAAACATGTCTGGTTTTGGGTCTTCAAACAAAATATGTACGCCTGCTATAATTTTTTTACACGATCTTTCTGGGTCTATATATAGTTGTTTTTTAACTGTTGTAAAAGGTCCTTGAAATTTAAAAAAAAACTTGAAATGCAGTGTTTGTGAAAATTGCTGCTGTCACTGCTCTCATCCTGTTTTCTCCTCCCACCTCTTGTAAAAAAAATCAGCTATTTGCTTTGGGGGGGAGGTGGGGCGCTACATCTCTGACATTAGTATTAGTATAGTTCCTTCTGAAACCTTCTACTTCATAATGAAATATATGTGTCAACTTGTTGTGTGCCATTGAAGCCATTGACTCTGATTTCTTCCTGCTTTTCTTTTTGGATTTGCTTCCATAGCCTTTGTCCACCCAAGAACAAACTACAAGGCAGCAGTTGTTTGATTTTGGAGTTGTCTCTCCTAGAAGAGTGGCTGTCCCCAGCTAACGAGCCTCATCTGCCCGAGGGTTCGAACTCGAGACTTTTCGGTTTAGCAACCATGAGCTTTACCGACTCGACCACACCAACCCCACTTCTGAAGTGATTTCATAGTAAAAATAACGTTTCTGTAATCCTGCGATGTGTACTTACGAATTTCCACAATATTTTTTTTTACGTCAGCGCGCATATCAAGGTGGGGGACATTGGTGGTGAAATGGTGCAACATAAGGTTTTAGATTTTGATGTGGAAATTAGCCATATACCTGGGTATATTGTAAAAGCAGGCATACGACAGTGTACATTTGTGTTGTAGGCCTACCACTTGTTATAGTTCAGGCCTACTAAAAAATAATTCTTAGATATTTCTACACATTTCTATATTACCAACAGTAGAAAAAGTGACCACTGCCACTATAAACAGAGTTTTTTGTATTGTGGTTTACATGCATGGGGTAGGTCTAGAGATTGTACTAACATTTTAAACTATTGGATATATATATATATATATATATATATATATATATATATATATATATATATATATATATATATATATATATATATATATATATATATATATATATATTGGATATATTTTTTAATAGACTGATAAACCTAATAGTTCTTCAATCTTCAATTAATTTTTCTACTTCCCGGGCTAATATTTTAAAAGTTCTATCATTTTTAATGGTACCAACTTTTAAATATACCTTCCTTCTCCAAAGCAAATTTTAAAATGTTTTTCTGGCATATTTTGCCCTGTCACCTATAGCTTGTTTGTATAACATGAAAAACCCACATTTTTGCTCTTGGTAAACGTTTTAAAAACTAATTGTAAGAAGGTCACTGGAGCTAAGATGAAAAATCTTTGAAAGTCATGCATCTGGTGTGGACATCATATTGATTTTAGCAACGATCCACACCTCCAAGGTAACGAGTAATACTAATATTTTTGTCACAAATTGTGTCAAATATAATAGTAATAGATAATTGAATAATAAACCAAAAATCAATGTCCAAATATATCAATATAAGCCAGAAATTAACTTTAAACAGCCTAGTTTGCGAGCAAGATTTGCTATAGAAACAACGGCCAGCTGTAAATTAGGGTAGTTTCCCTTGAATCTCTAGCTTAAATGTTACCAAAAAACTTAAACAAGATGGCTGCTTTAGTAAATGAGCTAGGTTGCATCAAGTGAAAACATCGTTAATCTTTATTTATTACTGAAACGTTTTACTACTGATGTTTTAAAACAGGCACATCAAAAGTTTGTAACATTTTTGTATCTTTCAAAATGTGAATCCTTCTAAAAATGCCAACTAATTACAAAAATTTGATACGTCACCCTTTTTTTACTTTCTCGTATACAGGGTATAGAGAAAGTATTCTGATAGTGCACAAAAATCACATGAAATTTTGACGGTTTTCACCGTTTTTCACCTCAATCCTTCATCTGGAGTATGGAAGACTTATTTTAATCGGGCAAAAATTATAAACCCACATTTATCAAATTTTTGACGTTTTATGCATAATCGAGTCTGAAAAACTGGGCTTTTCAATACTTTCAGTGTATGTGTGTCTGTGAACACGATAACTTGAGTACAGTTACAGCTAGGTTGATAAAATTTCATATATAAGCATTATATCAAATTTCTAGTTCTGTATCAACTTTTCAGCGATTTCTGATTAACCGGAAGTGGAACTAATTCTACTTTAAATTTTTCAAAAGCCTATAACTTGAGTTCTGTTTTAGATAGCCAAATGAAATTTCATATGTAAGTAAAAGATCTAATTTTCCACCTTCTTTCAAATTTAGAGTATTTTCCGTTGACCAGAAGTAGTAATGGACGCTATTTCTAATTTCTCAAAAATGCTTGTGAATATATAAAGTACTAATAATATTCCGCACTATTATACACATTTTGTTTCGCATTTCTTTGGTGTGCAATTCTTTTTTTCTACAAGATTCTATTCTAATTTTAAAAGTTTAAGTACTTAAACATGGATTTAAAAATCATGTCTATATATAGTATATCCTGAGTTGCCAATCCCCCGTAGTGTTATATAAGAATATTCGAGAAAGCTTAGGGGAGATCACTACTGGCTTTTTAACATTACTAGCCTCTGCAGATTTTATGTACATAAAATCATAGATTACCTTAGTCTGTTAATTAAGAATAGTAAGGTGTACTTTTGACCTAATTTCTTTATTTATCTCGCAAGTGACACTTTAGTGAAAGTAGCTTTGTATATTCTTGTTTTAAAATGAACTTACAATCAAATAAACTTCAAAACCATGATTCTAATGTTATGCCGTGTATGATTAAACAACGGTTTGGGAATAATTCTCATGTCCTTAGGTGTGGTCACTATGTCAGTCATATACCCCCCCCCCTCCCCATTAATGCCATTTTATTATAATCTTGTGAAAAACAAGGCGCGTTTAGATGTGTGCTGCGCCCAAAGCCAATTATTTGGCCAGATTTATTATTTGTCATGTGGCCCCATATTTTAAAAACATAAAGCGTTGCGCTTTCCTCATTGATGGTTTTTTTTTTTCATTTTTTAAAGTGAAAATATGAATTGTTATGATTGCAGTTTTTGTAACATGGTATACTTACCTTCTGTCAATTTAAAAAGCATGGCATGTTAATTTTGTACAAATATTGTATAAAACAAAAAAAAATTTAAGTTTGATTTTATTTTCTACCATGATCCGCCACCCTCAGGCATATACAATACATTAATTATTTTATTTTTAAAATTGTTTATTGATTGTGTTAACTTCATTAAATTCATTTCTAAGATATTTTAATATGCTTCTGAGAAGTTTTATTGAAAAAACTTTGTTTTGACTATAGTTACTAGATCTATATAATCACCACTTTAACATTTAAATATCTAATCCTCAGTTCATTTATAAGAAGCAGCATGGGAGAGGCAACTGGTGATTTAGATTTACAGTCTGATGAGTTTAAAGAATTTTCAAATTCTGAAGATGTGAAGCCACTTCTATCTACAGTATTTTCATCTTCTTCTGACAAAAAAACAGAATTATCATTTTTATTTATTTTTAACTTTCCGTGATATCAAACCAAACATGACATTTATAAATTCACAGGATGATAAAACCGTTGTTACGCCAGATTTTTCATCTTCTACAGACACAAAGTCAGAATGTACAACATTTTCCTCTTTTGATGATGTAAAATTTCTAGTTCTGTATCAAGTTAAAGATCTAATTTTCCACCTTCTTTCAAATTTAGAGTATTTTCCGTTGACCAGAAGTAGTAATGGACGCTATTTCTAATTTCTCAAAAATGCATGTGAATATATAAAGTACTAATAATATTCCGCGCTATTATACACATTTTGTTTCGCGTTTCCTTGGTGCGCAATTCTTTTTTCTACAAGATTCTATTCTATTTTAAAAAGTTTAAGTACTTAAACATGGATTTGAAAATCATGTCTATATATAGTATATCCCGAGTTGCCAATCCCCCGTAGTGTTATATAAGAATATTCGAGAAAGCTTTGGGGAGATCACAACTGGCTTTTTAACATTACTAGCCTCTGCAGATTTTATGCACATAAAACCATAGATTACCTTAGTCTGTTAATTAAGAATAGTAAGGTGTACTTTTGACCCAATTTCTTTATTTATCTCGCAAGCGACACTTTAGTGAAAGTAGCTTTGTATATTCTTGTTTTAAAATGATCTTACGATCAAATAACCTTCTAAGCTATGATTCTAATGTTATGCCGTGTATGATTAAACAACGGTTTGGGAATAATTCTCATGTCTTTAGGTGTTGTCACTATGCCCGTCATATACCCCCCCCCCCCCCCCTCCCCATTAATGCCATTTTATTATAATCTTGTGAAAAACAAGGCGCGTTTAGATGTGTGCTGTACTTACCTTCTGTCAATTTAAAAAGCATGGCATGTTAATTTTGTACAAATATTGTATAAAACAAAAAAAAATTTAAGTTTGATTTTATTTTCTACCATAATCCGCCACTCTTAGGCATATACAATACATTAATTATTTTATTTTTAAAATTGTTTATTGATTGTGTTAACTTTAAGCTATCTATATTCATTTCTAAGATATTTTAATATGCTTCTGAGAAGTTTTATTGAAAAAACTTTATTTTGACTATAGTCACTAGATCTGTATAATCACCACTTTAACATTTAAATATCTAATCCTCAGTTCATTTATAAGAAGCAGCATGGGAGAGGCAACTGCTGATTTAGATTTACAGTCTGATGAGTTTAAAGAATTTTCAAATTCTGAAGATTTGAAGCCACTTCTATCTACAGTATTTTCATCTTCTTCTGACATAAAAACGGAATTATCATTTTTAACTTTCCGTGATATCAAACCAAACTTGACATTTATAGCTTCACAGGATGATAAAACCGTTGTTACGCCAGATTTTTCATCTTCTACAGACACAAAGTCAGAATGTACAACATTTTCCTCTTTTGATGATGTAAAACACCATATGACATTTCAAACTTCTCAAGATAAAACAACAGGATTTTTAATTTTTAAAGATATGCTACCTGCTGTATCAGCAGTATGTACAAGATCTGAAGATATAAAACCAGTATTAGCAATTTTATCAACAAGTGAAGATATAAAACCAGAATTAGAAACTTTATCAACCAACACAGAATTAGAAATTTTATCAACTACTGAAGGTATAAATCCAGAATTAGAAAATATATCAACTAGTGAAGATCTAAAACGAGAATTAGAAACTTTATCAACTAGCGAAGATATAATCCCAGAATTAGAAACTTTATCAACCAACAAAGATTTAAAACCAGATTTATGGACAAAGTTTTTAGATTCTGAGGACAAACAACAAAATGGACTTGAAGAAAAGCTAAAACTCTCTGAAGATGAAACATATCTGTCTGTTGATCCTCATAATTGTCATGAACAGTTTTTTCAAAGATCTAACTTGAATAAACAAGCTCAAGTAGGGGAGAAGTCACTTGAATGTGATGCTTGCCATAAAAAGTTTTCAGATAGTTCTAGGTTAAATGAACATAAAAAAGTTCATTCAGGAGATAGGCCATATGAATGTGATTATTGTCATCAAAAGTTTTCTAATAGTTCTGCTCTAAGCAGCCACGAAAAAATACATTTACTAGTTAGACAGTATGAATGTGATGTTTGTCACAAAAGGTTTTCATGGCATTCTGGTTTAGCGGAACATAAAAAAGTTCATTCAGGAGATAAGCCTCATGAATGTGATGTTTGTCATAAAAAGTTTTCTAAGAGTTCTAGTTTATATAGACACAAAAGAGTTCATTCTGGAGATAAGCCTCATGAATGTGATGTTTGTCACAAAAGGTTTTTAAGGAATTTTGATTTAGCGACACACAAAAAAGTTCATTCAGGAGAAAAGCCTCATGAATGTGATGTTTGTCATAAAAAGTTTTCTCAGAGTTCTAGTTTATATACACACAAAAGAGTTCATTCAGAAGATAAACCATTTGAATGTGATGTTTGTCATAAAAAGTTTTCTAAGAGTTCTAATTTATATACACACAAAAGAGTTCATTCAGGAGATAAACCATTTGAATGTGATGTTTGTCATAAAAAGTTTTCATATAGTTCTAATTTATATGCACACAAACAACTTCATTCAGAAGATAAACAATTTGAATGTGATGTTTGTCATAAAAAGTTTTCTCAGAGTTCTGGTTTATATTCACACAAAAGAGTTCATTCAGAATATAAACCATTTGAATGTGATGTTTGTCATATAAAGTTTTCTCAGAGTTCTAGTTTAAATACACACAAACAAGTTCATTCAGAAGATAAACCATTTGAATGTGATGTTTGTCATAAAAAGTTTTCTCAGAGTTCTAGTTTAAATACACACAAACAAGTTCATTCAGAAGATAAACCATTTGAATGTGATGTTTGTCATAAAAAGTTTTCATATAGTTCTAGTTTAAGGAAACATAGAAAAGTTCATACTGGAGATAAGCCAGATTAATGTGATGTTTGTCATAAATATGTTTCTAAAATAAAGCGGCTCACGACATATTGGCTACCGACAAATAGTCTCCCGGCAATTGGGCTCGCGACATATTGGCTTTTGACAAAATGACTCCCGACATATTGGCTCCAGACCAATGAATAGCATGACCACTATTGGCAGAAAAGTAACGATTTTGTCCTACCTCCAATACCACTAAATACTCTTTTAAATGATCGAATGAAATTGTTTTTCATGAACCAACATTAATTCACAAACAAAGCGAGCCCTTAACAGCTAAATTTCACCAATTCTAAAGTTTTGATGTTTAATTTACAACAGAAAAGATTTGATGTTTAATTTACAACAGAAAAGATCTGTTGCTTAAAAGCGTGCACAGAAGTGTAAATGTACGATATATGTATATTTATGTATATATATGTATATTTATGTGTATATATATGTGTATATATATGTTGGCAGGTATCCTAATGTTGGCTGGTTATTGAATAGTTGTCACAGGTTGCTTGTTTTGTGTGTGTAGTTATATTCGTGGTTGGTCGTAGCTGGATCGGGGTAATGGTCCCCCCTCCCCTTCTCTCAAGACGCCGCCCGGTTCTCACGGCGCTGGGTTCTGGCAGGGTGTGACGGTGTCACGGATAATTTACGAGGTTCACAGTCGTGGATTGTGACCGGACCCTAGGTGTGTGCATGCTTTGTGTTCAATTTTATGTCCTGTCTCCCCAATGGTCGTCTGCTTAAATTTACGACCGTAATGTCGCGACGGTCAGTTCTTGTCAAACAGGTGGTCGGAAAGTGTGGGAAAAAGTTTGTTTGGATTCAGCCTATTTAAGAGGACTGTGTTCAGACCTCTGTCTCTTACACACCAAGCTAGGGCTATAGACCAGATGGCCGCAGAGGCTTGTTTAGTGGCCCAGCTGAGGTATTGTTGATATGGCCTGGTGTTTACACCAGCGGCCCAACACCTTGTTCCAGTGGCCCGATATTATGCTCGTGGCCTGATGTCTCGTTCTTGTGGCCCGATATTATGCTCGTGGCCTGATGTCTCGTTCTTGTGGCCCGATATTATGCTCGTGGCCTGATGTCTCGTTCTTGTGGCCCGATATTATGCTCGTGGCCTGATGTCTCGTTCTTGTGGCCCGATATTATGCTCGTGGCCTGATGTCTCGTTCTTGTGGCCCGATATTATGCTCGTGGCCTGATGTCTCGTTCTTGTGGCCCGATATTATGCTCGTTGCCTGATGTCTCGTTCTTGTGGCCCGATATTACGCTCGTTGCCTGATGTCTCGATCCAGTGGCCAAATGTCTCGCTCTGGGGCCAGATGTTTGTTTTGGAGGACGGATATGTTGTCCTTGTGGCTGGGGAATCGCCCTGCCTTTTGTGTGTGACGAACTGGGTCGTGTAAGGAACTCGTAAACATTCATGATAGGATAAAATTGTGGTTGTATCTAAAAATGTAAGTGATTTATTTTTTTTTAACATGTATTAAGAATTCGAGGGATGTTTCCTTTATTATGAAAACTGGCCAGACCTTATTTGTATCCTTTTGTTTTTTGCTGGTAAAATACATTTTTTGTGAAGTTAAATAAATGCATTAACTGGGTGTTTACCAAGTTTTATTTTTAGTGTAAAATTAATGTTGTATTTGTTTAGATGTTAATTAGTTTTTCTCAGGTCTATTAGACTCCTTTGTCACCACGCAAAGGTGCACGGATTTGAGAGAATAATGGTCTATACCATCTTACCATGTCTCTCTTTTAATCGGTTAACAAAAACAACCCTCCCCTTACATTTTGATGTCAGAAGTGGGATCGCAGATGATCCCCCTTTCTCGAACAACTAAATCCCCCTAACATGTATATATATATATATATATATATATATATATAAATAATTATAAACTAGCCGGCCAGGAACCAGAATTTTTTCCATGCATCCACCGCCCCCCCCATGACTTGTGTGTTGTGTTCAGCATATACCCGGCACAGTGGCGTGCAGAGGGGGGGGCGGAGGGGGCCCAGGCCCCGGGCAGCCACATCAAGGGGGCATCCAAAGGGGTAAAAAAAATTGTTTTTTTTTTTTAATTTAAATTTTTTTTTTTTTTTTTTTTAGGAAAGCTAAATGTCTACTAAGTTTTGTCTACCTAGGCAGAATTATCAAATTATCACAATTTGCCGAATTCACCGAAATGTGTATATACAATCAACACATGGCACTGATATAGTCATCGTACTGTCCGTGTCGTACAACCTTCAGGGAGAAAGGGGCATCGGTGAGGGGTAGTGGTGTAGTAGTCATTGATATTCCCCGAATAAATGTATGCAGTCTTTCAATTAATAGAGTATCTGATACTTGTGTAGGTAGGGGCATCTTTTAGAGAACACGCCCATAACAATTTTATTCACTTGTGGTCATCCATAGAGTATTAAAGCCCATGATTATAATTTACACACTATAGGAGCATCTTTTAGAGAACACGCCCATAATCATTTTATACACTTGTGGTCATCCATAGAGTATTAAAGCCCATGATTATAATTTACACACTGTAGGGGCATCTTTTAGAGAACACGCCCATAACAATTTTATTCACTTGTGGTCATCCATAGAGTATTAAAGCCCATGATTATAATTTACACACTATAGGGGCATCTTTTAGAGAACATGCCCATAATCATTTTATACTTTGTGGTCATCCATAGAGTATTAAAGCCCATGATTATAATTTACACACTGTAGGGGCATCTTTTAGAGAACACGCCCATAATCATTTTATACACTTGTGGTCATCCATAGAGTATTAAAGCCCATGATTATAATTTACACACTGTAGGGGCATCTTTTAGAGAACACGCCCATAACAATTTTATTCACTTGTGGTCATCCATAGAGTATTAAAGCCCATGATTATAATTTACACACTGTAGGGGCATCTTTTAGAGAACACGCCCATAATCATTTTATACACTTGTGGTCATCCATAGAGTATTAAAGCCCATGATTATAATTTACACACTATAGGGGCATCTTTTAGAGAACACGCCCATAATAATTTTATACACTTGTGGTCATCCATAGAGTATTAAAGCCCATGATTATAATTTGCACACTGTAGGGGCATCTTTTAGAGAACACGCCCATAATCATTTTATACTTTGTGGTCATCCATAGAGTATTAAAGCCCATGATTATAATTTACACACTGTAGTGGCATCTTTAATGTAATTTGCTTATATTCATCATAATACTTTTGAAGGGCATCCAAACAGTAATTATGCCGGCATACATTTTATATATCATCAGGGCATCTTTAAAGTAATTTACTTGTATTCACGTTTGTATTTATATAATTACAGCAATTATGCCCATATTCGTTTATATATTATCGGATATTTATTATGCTTATATTCATTATTGGATGTCTGAAGGGCATCCCTACAGTAATTATGCCCTTGTTCGCTTTATATTTTATCGGGCATCTTTATTATGTTTCTATTCATTGCATAATGTTTGTAGGGCATCCTTATTTATTATGATGGACGTAACGGCATTCGTAGACTGATTAGCACACAGCCTATTGGTTTTTTTTTATTCTAATGATATTCTTTATTCATGGCCATTTGGATTTTTGTGTACGGTTAAATACAAACTTTCAAGTCCGTACTGTTTTGATACACTGGGCCGGGCCGAGTTAACTTCATTCTAAAGTTGTCCTTAAGTCTCACACTTCTTAATTAGGGGTCATCCATTTATGACGTCCACACTGGGGGGGGGGGGGGGTCCGAAAAAAAATGACTTTTGTGGACGCGTGTGGACAGGGGGAGGGGGGGGGGGGGTTGGCCCAATGTGGACGTCCACACAATAAATCTAACATTATTTTTGGTAGTGTGAAAGAAAAATATTTCCTTGCGAAGCTAACGTTCATCTGTCCTATCTCTCTGGCCCACCACCCAGCTTGGGTCTATGCCCTCGCTTAACCTCGAATACAATAGGATCCAATTACCTGTTTCCCCTCATGTGCATCCCTTGTCAAATACCAGGCGACCTGCACTTCTCTAGGTCATCCCAGTTCAGTTGTGAGACGGGAGAGGGGTGGAGGGGGGGGGGCATAGCACGCTGTCCTTGTTCAGGTGTGGGACAGGAGGAGGGGGGGGGGGGTTAATACACACTAGCATCAACGTTGGACTCAGTAATATAACAGTGTCAATGCCACTACAAGTGTGCGAAATAATGGCTAGTCAAAACACCGCGAAATATGCTAAATTAAATGATTTGTATCAAAAGGCTTATCCTTCCAAATTGAAATATCAACTTCAAAAAGAGGTTAATAGCCTATGGCTTAATTTAAAGAGGCAGCCAGAAGAACAATTTAATTAACAGCTAAATTAAGGGTCTGACATAGCATAGTGGATTTTTAAACACAGTCCGATGTAGAAGTGTTGTTTTTTTTTTAGGGCTGGCAGCTTTAGCCAAACAAGGTACACTTCTGTTATATTCAAGGTTCAGATACTTTGAGAGTATCTAGCATCACCCATCTCTTTAAAGAGTTGACGTTTTGACCAAGTGGTTTAGAGAAAAAATCTGAAACATCTCTAGTTCAATGCACACTCTCACCTGTATTAGTTACACTATAGGAATTCCTAAACAGGCCAAGAGAGAAACATCCCATCAATAAAGGCGTGTCTGACGCCCTAATTGTAGACACGGTCAGCGTTTTTGTCCCTGCGGTCCCGGGTGGTAATACAATACCGGATGAGACTCTTTTGTAGTGCATCACAGCCCCCCCCTCCCCACCACGACACGTCCCGCAATTGTTTCCCCCCTTTCCAACCCCTCACCCCCCCCCCCCCCCCCCAAGTTCCAACCATTTACTCCATTTGGATTTAGCTGGCTGTAGTCAACGTTTTCATCTCAATTAAGATAAGTACAATTTTTTAAATAAATTATATAAATATATGTATATATATATATATATATATATATATATATATATATATATATATATATATATATATATATATATATATATATATATATATATATATATATATATATATATATTATAAGTATATATGGGGGCATCTTCCGCTTGAGTTTGCCCCGGGCATCTACATAGGTCTGCACGCCACTGACCCGGCATAGCCCGGATTTAATATATATATATATATATTACCTTTTTAATTAACCCTAACCACAAACAAAATTGCAAACATAACTTGAGTACTGTTTCACATAGAGAAACGAAATTTCACTTAAACGTAAAAGATCTAATTCTCTGCTTTCTTTCAAATTTTGAGTAATTTACGTTGACCGGAAGTAGAACTTTACGCTATTTCCGATTTCTAAAAAAAACGCATATGAATTAATGAAGTACTAGTTTTCCGCACTATTATTTAAATATTTTTTTCCGTTCACTTGCTGCGCAATTCTTTTTTCTTTTATGCTACAGGGTCCGTAGCGGACCTTGAATCCTTGAAAAACCCTTGAATTCAAAAAAACATCTCAAGGCATTGAAAAACCCTTGAATTTCCCCAAAAATGAGCAAAACCCCTTGAATTTTATAGGTAAACCTTGAAAACCGTGCGTAAATCGAATTTTTAAAAAAAAATCAATTCTGATGGATCTAAACTTTTTCTGGTTTTTTTTTTTGCCGTGGGTCTGCGTTAACTTCGGAGTCTATTTCCAACCCTCTCCTTTGCTGAGCCTCGCGGTATGACCCCAACCTGACCAGTTTTGCATAGGCTCTTCCTAACCTAGATTCTAAATAGTGACGTAGATAGCCGCATAATTTAGCATCGTTTTTTCGGATATCTCCGTTTACGAACGAGTTACTAGATTCTAAATCTAGATTCAGTGTTTTCTGTTAGGGCCTACCTACTTGTACGGTTTTGTCCGTAATTTTTCGATTTTGACACCCCTGTTGCGGAATTAGGCCGCAAATGTTACGCAAAAGCCCACAGTAAACATCAAAATCGATTTAGTGTCGACCTTTTTTTTTCTTGTGTTAAATTTCCGTGTTATCCGGTTCTATGGTTTCAAACATCTTCAATCATAACAATCGACGCCCCCCGCCCCCCAAATCCCTTCCCGACAATATCTCGGCAGTCGTTGGCTCTATTTATATTGTGAACTTTATTGACCCCGCGAGTGGTCTGTTGTCTCCTGATCGGTGATGTCCGTAAAGAAAAAAATTGGAATGTGGCCTAAATCATTAAAATTCTGGTCGCGCATGGAAATTATCTCGATTATAATTAAACCTACATCTAGAACTAATATTTTTTCTTCAAGAAAATAAGCCTTAGGTTTAAATAAAAAAAGAATAGCCTGAACTATGCAAGCGTAGGTTTCTATTTATTTAAATTAAAATTTTCTCGGTGTGGGTTAAACACAAAAGGGCGAAACGTAGCTGCGGAATTACGGGTAAATAGCGAGACATAATTTATCGAATTATTGTGTTCTGTTATTTTAGATGTGCGAGAAGACACGTTTTTACGAACCTAGATCAATCACGGTTCTTTGTGTACCCCACGATAGCAGATGTTTCGGTCACTGCGACCTTAGAAGGTCTTCTAGGTCTATCTCAACTTACAGTGACCTCGCAGTATATTAATAATTAATATAGTCGTGGATCTTGATCTAGCTTTTTAACTATTAACCAACAAGATTTCCTAATACCAATAGGCATATTTATCACGTTCGTTAAAAAAACCAATAGCAAATGACG